ATATCCAGCACGCTTAAAATTGGGCGCAGAAAGCTCAATTAGGATTTAGTGGATGGAGCCGACGCCGACGCCGACGCGGTAAACGTTATTTATCTAGACTTCTCCAAAGCGTTCGCCCGGGTGAACCACAAAAATCTACTGGGGGAAGTCTATAATCACGATATTTGAGGCCTCATACTTGGTTGGATCGAAGTATTTCTCCGACATCGGACCGTATCGATTCGTGTTTTTGATTCGCTTTCTAGTCTTATGGACGTTACCCGTGGGGTTCCATAACAATCTGTGCTTAGCCCGCGACTTTTCCAAACAGTCATAAACGAAGGCTCTGGGACCAAAATCATTACTATTTGCAAATGACGCCTAAATTTGAAACACATTAGAACAACCAGTGGGCTCGCTAACACTCCAGGAAACGCTGCAAGCAGCTCGGCTTTGGTCCCTTATGAACGATATTGAATTCAATGTGCCAAAGTGTGAGTTTCTATCTCTGTGACACAAGGAGTAACTTTCGTGTTTCCTCGGAAATGAACAACTGCCACATGCCTCAAGTGCGAAGGGTTTGGGCATCATCATTCAAGAAAACTTAAGCTGTCCAATCAACTGCACCAAGGCAGCTAAAGAATTAAAGAATGTCGGTTTGCTTAAGTGGGTCTTTGACCGGTTTGAGTCAACGCCTTTCCCCCGTCTACTGTCAGCATACATTCCCCCACTCACAGAGTACACTATCCAGGCATGAAATCCGTGGCTACAACGTAACTGCAAAATGCTGGAGCGTCCACAAAGGATGGCTACCAAAATGGTCAGGGGGTTGAATCGGTATTTACACGAAGAGATTGAAGATTGAAGTCACTGGGGTTATATTCCAATCACTACCGGCGCACCAGAGGAGATATGCTTATGGTATACCAAACAATGCAAAACCCAAGCCATCCGTGTCATTCGCTTCTGAAGTTATCACTCAACATTCATCCTAGAGAACATGCATTCAAACTAGTGGTCTCAAAATGCCGTTTGGAATGCCAGCATCAGTTATTCTCAGTCAGTTCAGTTCAGTTCAATTCAGTTCAGTTTGCACAGGACAAGAAATGGCCACGGCCAATCGAGCGTCCAGAGTTCTTTCGGTGGTATAAACAGGTCAGGCATCCACCACTGTATCGAGTAATCCGCCAGTTCTCCTGCTTAAAAAGAGAGAAAAAACAAATCATCTAACCTGCTAGGCGAGAGACGTTAAGGTACGTGAGGGTTCAAGAGGTGTCCTAATGTGGGAGCTAAATCACTGCTCAACCCAGAAACTACTTCGTCCCATGTTCGATCTAGGGTTAGTTTGAAGGTTTGAACCGAAGGTAGTTCTATTAGCTCTTTTGACAGTCGGTTCCATAGGTTTGCTACCCGATTATCGAAGAATTATGATCTTGTAACTATCCTGGATCGAGGTTTTCTCAGTTTCTTACAGTGACCCCTTGTTCTGGAATCGAGGTCTTCCTAAAACAGATTATCCGGGCCTAGGTCTGATAAAACCTTCTCTGACCTGCAACCTCTCGTTGCGAGCCTCGGAACTCCCTGTAAGCAGGTAATATGCTACTTGAAGAAGGGTGACTGTGCCTGCACGCAGTAGTCGAGATAAGGTCTAACAATAGTTTGTACAGGGACAAGAACACCTCCAGTTTTCTGCAAAACAGTGCTGACCTCAGTTTAAAGAGTGCTCTGTGAGCTTGTTTGCGGCCACTATGCACTGCTCGACCCAACGGAAATCGGAAGTCACGATGATACCTAGTTCCTTAACCCTAATTACTGATTCTATCGTAAAAATCCCCTGAAGCTGCATCACTGTTAAGCCATTGCCGGTCCTCGATAGCAACTGACTTTACTAGCATTCAGTGGCAAATCCCACTTATGCACCCGGCTGAGGACAGCATCTATTTCTCTTTTGAGGTCCTCTCTTCCTTTTGATCCAAGCACCTTGACATCGTCAGCAAAACACGATGGGCAATCTCAAAAGCATAGCAAGGTCATTTACGAAGAGTAGGAACAACAACGGATCTAGCATGAAACCCTGGAGTATACCACTTGTAACGTATGCTGTAGAGAGTGTTCGATCTGGAACTCTGTCCCATCCTACATCGTCTGTGCCCCAAGCATTGATTCTTTCAAACTGAGACTCGGTGAAACATTAGCACACCTTACATTCCAACATAACTAATGCATGACTGCAACAGTGGAAGAAGTACGTATCACGTGACACTTTACACAATTGTTTGTATCACTGTTTTCTAAACCACCATACAAACCTATGGGACGATAAAAGCATGAGCTTGTAATTTATTCCCCTAAAATATCCTTGATCTTTTATTTCTGGTCTTCACTCGCAAGTCAAATCGGCTATCTCGAATTTCTGGGTAGGGACAATTTGGTCTGCGTCCATAAAGACTTTGATCTTTTGTAATCAAGAGCCGTCTGATTGAACAAGCTGATACCTCGTTTCCATCTCAGTCTGAACCTCGTCAAGAAATCAGTTGGAAAAGACCCCGGAGAGTTCCTCTCATAGCTGTAAAACAACGAAATCACGTGTGAGCTCGAGAGGGGAGAAAACCGGAAAATACCTGGTTATGAAAAGAAATAGGTACGTGATAAACCGATTTAAGTCACCAGGCCCAATCTTATTTTCAATCCCTATTTATTATATGAATTGGGATGTTTATATGTAAAGAGAAGAAGAGAGCACAAATCAGTTTATTTGATCAATGACATACTTCTGCGGGCATATCACAACTTTTGGTACGCAAGGGTGTAGGATACGGCGGCAGAGTGGGAGTTGCAATATATGAAAAAAATAAATCAAATTTTACATGATTTCTTTTCGAAAGGTGATGTGTTCAAGGTCGGACAGATTGTGCCGTATAAAAATACTATCGGCACGATCATTCGGGAGGAGGGAGATTCGGAGTAGACTTTTGTATTTGATCACTGAGTATTGGGCATAAAAGTAAAATCAAGCTTGTACAAACGTGAGTGAGCGTGGTGTTAAGGTTTTCCTTTTTGTGGTTCTCCTGCGATGTTCATGAATACGGATAATAGTTAAATTCAATGGGTTTTCACGCTTATACCGTTCAGCTGAACCTCGGGCTGCTTTTGATACGTTTCCGGTCTGTAGGGATGACATCCAACCTTTTCGGCCTCGTTGTAAAGTTTAGGGTAGAACCTGACGGCCAGCAGATTTGCGGAAATCAATACAACTATGGCAAGAAGCCACTGTGGAATAAAAAGGTAAAGAACAATTGATAGCCGTGAATTTGAGGAGTGCAAATGTTGTCCTATTCAACCATTTCATTGTGATCCGTTTTGCTTGGATTCTCAATGAACTTATTCGTTGGAATACACCTTAAACGAATCAAATGCGCAAACAATTAGTCAAAAGGAGGGCGCAAGTTACCATCTGGCACCCCATGGTGGTTTGATTATTTTTAGTTAATTATAAGAGCGACAAGCTTTAAATATCTATAATAATTTTTCCGAAATTTTTAATATATAATTGGATTTGTTTATCAAATAAAGAAGTGTATTTGGTTTTATTTTGTGACCTTGAAGCATGTCGGACGGTTCAAATATGTATCGAAAGTTGCATTAAATTCAGGGACAGGCTTATGTAGAACATATACAAGACCGAAATTTGCCATAAAAACAGGTAAATGTGTATATGTGCAGCCGGGGTCAACTGTTTAGACCGAGTATTGGACAGAAAATCGCTCAATGTGTTCACTCGGGTTTATATAACGACACTTGAAAAACGTGATTGGATCATTCGGCGATGTCATATGGAAACATTTGGATGAAGTACGGTATCAAATGTGGTTGGATTTTTCCATCCAAAAGTTTTGCTAATTATATTAATACTTATTTACAACATATTGCTCAGTTATACCCATGTTAGACTCCAATTCGTTCTATTATACGTTGTCGTCCTTATTATTTATGAATCGTTCTTTGTGTGTAGTGGGAAATAACTGTATACTGCTCATGAGTAGTAAGTTTTTCATTTACAAACATGTGTGCTGATGGGGTGCCGGATGGTAAGGTGAGCCAAAAGGAGTGCCTACTTACTCATTTTGCTAGCACAGGAAGCTTTTTTAGTTCTCTCAAGCAGTTAATGGGGATTTCTTTCAAAAATGTTGTTAGTGTGCATTATTAGGATCGGAAACGTTGCTCGATAGATGGATTTGTATATGATTAGACCATGACCATTACGACTTTCACTTATTATATTGCTGTGATTTAGCATTTTTTTTGATTCTGGTTCCGGGATGGACCCAAATTCTCGCTAGAATTCAACCCTTTATTCATTTGCAATATGTACTCGACACATTGTACTGCCTCCCTGTTTGTCTTATGTGACCAGCAGACATTGTCTGGCTTATTTATATGATTCCATTTCAGCTGTTCGCCGAGCTTGGCACTTTGTTTGCGAATGTTTCTAGTATGTCAAGAGGTAATGAAACGTCCAACGTTGCATGCTTAAATGAAACTGCTTAATATGTCGAGCAGTTTGATTTCGCGGTTTACTTGACAGGAATGATACAAAAAGCAGAAAGATCAGACTAGGCGTACTAGTGCTTTTCCTTTCTGACGACAACGCAGTATTGTTCGTGTGAAGCTTAACTTGTCCCAGGTATTGTGCCCTAAAATGTGGTATGAAGATGGGTTTAGGAAGAGTAGGATGGGTCAGAAAACGTTTAGGTGCTTGAGACCGTTTTGTTTTGATTGGAATCGTTCAGCAGTATGCAATTTTTCCGTCGCCTTTTGAGAAACAAATGAATAGTTTGGGAGTTACACGATCATCTGTCTGTGGTGGTAAACTAGAATATGACATCCGAAATACCGGCAATAAGCGTTACATTATTTGATAGCCAACTAAGGTCAACATCCCGTGACCAGATAGATGATCTCAGTCGTGTGGATTTGAGGACAAAACGCCGCCACGTGGAGTACCTCCTTTACATCTAAGCTATGAAAAAAACGCATATTGAAGGACAAGGAGGATTAAACAGTTCTTCAAGCGTAAATAGATTGTCTGGTAACAATCAGATCTCATCCTCTTTTGTGGACCATCTACCCGTCTCGATCTATTGGCATTAGCACCGTGAACCCCGTGGGCGACACGCTGCCAGTCCAAGAATAACACAACAAAATTGATTGATTACCGGTGTGATTAAACTGAACAGATTGCATGTGCCAAAAATTACTCACCTCTAACAGTGTGGTTATCAGTGAGCTCAGGGTAAGTTGATACCAGGTGGGGTCTTCACGGATGTAGGCATAAACCCACCAGACAAGTAACGCGGCGCCCTGAATCGGAACCAATACCCTGAAGATAAACAATAAGTAGGAGTGACCATAAAAGAAAACAAAATTAAAAAATAAAATAAAATAAAAAATAACGAAAGTAAGTGGTCGATGATTCAGAACATGAAGTCATGTGAGGATAGAACATAAGTCTCTGTCAAGTTTCTGCCATGTGAATGTATAATGTTTGTCCTGAAGTGTTGTGTTTGAGTCGAGCTGGGCTATTCTAATACCTTCTCATGATTGTGTCTCACTGCAGCTACGGATGCGAGTGATATGGGAGCACGATGCAGTCTTAGTTTGAAATCGGCTAAATAATTTTGATTTTTTTGTGTACACATCTACGCTACCGGTATCCGCAGTTAACCCTCGCTCTTCCAAATTAAGTTTGCTATGCTATCCCAGTAAGAATGATTGCCTGATTCCATGGAGCATATTCCAGCAGCAGGCTGTCGTTCGTGTGACTCATTATGATATTTTTTGGTTCCGCTGTAATACTTACATTCTTCTTCTATCATTTTTTCCTTCCTTTTGTGGGATATATAAGAATAAAAAATAATTTTCAGGAAGGATGAGGTGGTCAATCGACGGGCTAATATAGAAAATGTGGAAAGCTAGACGTTGTTGGTGAAATTCGAACATATCTTCTTAGACGATAAGCTGGAGATGCTGAGTCGGATCAGGCGCTGGTTCTGACGCGCGTTACTCTTGAGATCTTCAGTCACCGGAAAAAATCACAGCCTCGATTTGTTCATCGTGGTCTGCTTGGCTAAACTCTTTACGCCCATTCTTAGGAAAGGCCTATGTACTAGGATTACCGCGGAACGGTGGAGTAGATCGATAGCGAAACCAAATTAGACGTGCAGTATATTCGACAGCGTGCGTTACTTGTGGGTCCAAAATCGAGGATCAACCATAAAATTGGATTTCCTGTGAGTCTGTATTATCGGCGAAATAAAAACGCCCCAGTCAGCCGGGACCAACAAAGGAACGGGTGATGTTTGCAACATTGACCCAGGGAAAGCCCTAGGGAAAACTGGAAACTGGTGGTATAACAGGTTTTTAGACGTCGCCTCAAGGATTAACCAATGACTGTTTCACCTGAATTCCTGAACCGGATTTTGTGGCCTACCGACCAGCAAAACTATTTGCTCTAAAGATGGAGAGAACATCTAAAGGGCAACGGCTTGACCACTGCGCAGAGAATTTTAGTGAACAGTTCAGCTGGCTTAGTGCCAGCGGGGTTATTCCGGTGACTGTATCGGAATTTCCGTGGGTTATAACACGGGAACACTCTACAGAACGAGGATTACAATGATGTATTCAACCGTCGAAGAATAAAAAGGTAGCCAGGTCTGACAGGTTTCACCACTTTCTTTTAAAGGTGAATATGGGATTTGCTGGTTTGCTATATACCGTTTGTGTGGAATGCCATATCTCGTTATCCCACCGCGAATAAGCGACCGTTCCGATTTTAAAGGAAGAATCATTGAGGATCTTTCGGTGAGAAAATTATTATCCGCCAAAGTTAGATCACTAAGGTTCGTTGTTGTCTGCCACTCTGCGTGTTATTTGCTTTTTCTGTTTTAGGTTTTCGGCGCGAAGAAATCCACAGGGTCTTTCAGGTAGGGAAGAAAAACTAGAGATGGCTGTTTGAAGACATCGAAGGACACGGCAAATAACCGACAACAGTGGTATTCTTGTTGTCACTTCTTTTCAGATCAGAAGGTTTGCAAAGGTAGCTATGCATAATGAGATTGTGTACTTTGGGTATTGTTAATGGAAGGTTAATTCCTCTCTCCTTTCCTCCTTCTCTGGTGTATTTGAACCTGGACCATACAACCTTATTTCGTCGCTTCTTTGACAACCTCTAACTTGACGCTTTTCTCCTTCTCAATTGATTATGCTACCATGTATTTGTAGAACAATTAAACTTCGTCAAATGTGTTCCATTTCGCCCCATGGATATTAAAAAATAAAAAATAATAAATAGTCTCAGTTAGTGGTGAAGTTTATATCCGCTGGCTAACAGATTGAGGAACAATCACGGTCCAGAATTTTTTGGTTCGGATAAAACTATCCGATTTTTATCTCAAAGCTCAATAGCACGTCAGGTAGGTTCTGCCATACGGTTTGTATTCACACGACTGTGCCTCCGATGCCTCCGATAGCGTTTTTGTGTATTACTAACATCTTGGGTATTGCTGTTGCACTTGAATAATACTTACTTGCTCATAGATCGATTCATGGTTTGCGAGACTGAAAAGTTTCAAAACTTTACTCATACCGTGAAGAGTTGCTTGAGGTTAGCTTCGCCAGTGTTCACCTGCGTTCCATTTTGGTCTCAAGATATGACACACAACGGTTTATCTGGTTCCAACAAATCTACCAGTACAGATTAGCAGGAACTTACGAAATGACAAACACCCAGACTAGGGGAATTTTCCAGTCATTTGTGCCAAAATCATTGATGAGAACTCGCCGAAAGCGAAGTGGATGATAGACCAAGACAATTAAAGTAAGCAATAAACCAGATACGATCAACGCGTATCCCCATGTATTGTCCTGAAGAAAATGGAAATGGAATGGTATACATGTTCAGAATCATATTCGGTAAATCTGGCTTCTCAGATTTTAAGCTCTCACCTCCATTCACACGACAAATTCATCAAACGAAAAACGCCAAAAGGGACACTTTTTAACCAATTAATTGGTCACATTTGATCAAAGTGATCAGGTATGAGTTGGGTGCATACGGATGTAAAATTTCAAGGCTTACAGGATTACGTCACTGGAAACTGACATTTGGATTCATAAAACGAATCACTTTCTTCCTCTTCAGTCTCGCCTTACTACAAACTGAAGGTTCTGGCTGATACGCAACAACGGTTGTTGTGCTTATTGTCGAATAATATTCTACAGGTTCGATCAAATTTTGTACACACGGCGCTAATTGAATCGGCTTCAATATAAAGCCATAATTGCTTTCGAAAGCGAAGGCTCTTGAGCTTTGAGAAAACTAAACTGGAGAAAGGTGCATGTTAACGGTGCCAATCTGTGAAACATTTTTAAGTGAGCGTTTATCACACTCTGTGTTATTGACGGCACGCGCATTTGTCCTCTAAACGCTTTTGTTTCACTATCTTGCGTGTGAAGCACGCGTTTACACGGCCGAGTGTGTAGTTTAATTGTTACTTTGTCGTAAGTCATAAGTCGATAGGCCAATCAAATTATCAACGACCATTTGTTCGACTCCAAATCAATCAATCAATCAATGAATTAACCTGTCAATCAATTCATTCGCTGATCGTTAAAGCCGACAGGAACGAACAAATTAATTTTTGATCCTGTGATCTGATTGTACCATTTAAATAAAAGCGACTCACTTGATTCTCCAGAACTTCTAACTTCAAGGCTGATGGTATGCCAACAGCGGCTATACAAATCAAAGCCAGGCTGACAGCAATTCGGTGTGGAACTATAAACAAGTAGGGCGAAAATTATCGACAGATTGAAATGACTATCAGTGATCTAATATTTTCATTTGCAAAACAGAAAAAAAGGAAGTGTAGATTTTGTGTTGTCTTGAGTTTCTCAGTAATCTGAAAAAATATTATTCATTCATTCAAATCATTTGATGTTCCTTTCCTGTCCTTTGTGTTTAATAATAATTGGAAGCACAACTATTACACAATGATCCAAATAGGAATGGATGAATGCTTAATGGATGAAGCGCTGAAATGTGATCAGTGTTAATTAAAAATTGTCTTGTTTTCTTTTAATTGCTATCATGCTGTATAGATATTCTTTCGGTCAAAAAGTCGATCCAGTTGAGATGGCTACACTTTCTGTACACTTAGGAGGTAGCGAGGGACATTGAAATAGATTTTACATTAAAAATGGACACCAACTGGTCAGCTAATAAAGACGGAAGAATAAAAGAGAAGCGTGGGATAATAGACAATGTAGCACACCTGATCAGTAGTTAGATTTAGTCGACTTAAATCAGAATTGCGAACTCTGAACCTTTGAGAATGGAAGCATATTTACTGCTAACGTAACTATCAGAGAGATAATTAAACTTTCCTGGTGAACCATTTACTAGTAATATTAGCCTCTACGGTTTGACAACACTAGGTCAAACTTTCTCCAAAGTTTTTCTTTACTGTGAAGCACGAACGCATCGGACGTTGTTCATTTACAATATCCGCTTACCGGAGGCAATCTACAATTCACCGATCAAACCTATAGTTATATACTCTGTGTGATTAACAATGATTAATAATGTCAATAGCAGCAGCTGCAGCAGCAGCATCGGCAACAATTGCAGCAACACCCACAAAAGAGACTGTATTTCAAAATTTGACAAACCGTTGTTACTTGTCAAAAAACCACTTCTAGGAAGCAACTCATTTGTTTCAGAGCACTCCTCCATCTGCGTGAAAAAATACAGCTGCATCTCTTCATTAGTAAGAAGGTCATTTCGTATCAACAGACTCCTAGGAGAAATCAAAGGACACCGCGTTAGTGAATTTTCAAGCCCATGGTAGCCACCGATTGGCCGGATAACTCGTATTGACCGCCATCGTCATGAACATTGTCCATTGTAGTCACTTACTTGCGTTTTTGCTCTATTTTTCTTGATCACTTACTCGATTACTGCTCAATTGTCTTTGCGCTAGTCATGATTCACTTTCAAGCTTTTGTTGTATTCAGCGACCGTAAACTAAGGGAAACTAAGGGAACAGTGATTACCTAAGTAACAATGTGATTACGGAAAAAAATGAAGTAATTGTATACGATATAGTTATTCCTTTCAATTGCGAAAGTTTCCTAATCATCTAAATTCACAATTCTATGTCATTCGTCTAGTTAACGGGTTAACTTTCGTTAACCTGCGGGAGTGATAAAATAGTAATAAATGCGATTTTCCATCTGAGTGAGAAGATGAACTCTGTACAGTTCAAATCAAGATAGAAGGAGCATTAATATGATTTACCAATCCAATAAAATATGATGCTACTCCGAAACCGTACACTTCTACTACCGGAATACCGTATTTTGTTTAAACGAATCTCAAAATAATACTTACCGCCCAATTCTTTCAAGGTTATTGCGACCACTTGGATGTTTGGCAGTAAAGAGCTGAGACCGGCAACAAGAAGGCAGAGGAAAAAGAGTGCGCACAACACACGCCCGAAGATCCCCACACGAGAGAATAAAACCGGTATCCTAAGGTTAGACGGCAGAAAAGGCATTGGTAAAGAAATGTTATCGCTTAATTTTTATGGTTCGAAATTGAACCAAAATGTCGAAGACACTTTTTGAACTAATCTTTTCAGCGATATATAAGTTATTTAATCAGTATAGATTTCCGCTTACGTGATTAGATTTAACCTGAGGTATGCTTTTTTTGATATTTTATCATTCGTGATGTTTCCATTCGTTTCTCATTATTGAAAGTCATTGGTCATCTTCTGTTAGAGTTTATTAGCAACCTACACTCGTTTGTCTACGCAATGCTGCTACTGTGAGGGTAAAGCGATCCAGTTACTCCAAGTCGACCATCAATAGAATCTTACTCGTCATTGAATTTCATCAACCCAACGAAACCTTTATGATAGGTAGGACCGGAGCACATAGTCCGGCTCCAATCAAACAGAAAATATTCAGCCAACCACATGGTCTTCAGGGAGGAGAAAGGATTATTAACAGCTCATAGGCCACATAACTTGTGCTAAATTAATTTCTAATCTGTCTCACTGTTGAAAGTATTTGATCTTTCTGTGCAGGAATTCTGTTGTTTGAGCATCTTTATAACGCTTACTGTAGATAGACTTCAGTGATTCAACTATTCAATGATAATGATGATGATGACTCGGATAATGATGAAGACGATGGAGTCTCTATTGACCTTAATTTACTGAAAAAAGAGTATAGACTTGTGATGCTAAAGAAGAAAAAAGTAATCGTGAAACTTAAAACATTCGTTATTTTTTTAATTCAGGTGAAATTTGATTGAGCATGTCGAGTGGTTTAAAGAAAGAATGTTCACAACAGCTTTCCCCGTGAACTAGGATGGATGATAACTAGACCATTAGCATAAACCGCTGAGTGAGAAGAACATGACGAACATTTGCAGAATGTTTACTGTTCCAATTAAACAGGAAGGAAACAACTCAGAAACATGTTGAATCAAATATACTGAACCGAGGTTGACAAATAGGCCCACTTGCGCAGGTCCCCATCCAAGGTACACTCACCAGGTAAATGTAAGACCGGTACTACCAGGACCGGAAAACTGAATGATTTTTAGAATAGCGGACCGTGTCAAAGTTCCATCAGCCGAGATGAGCGTAGAAAATACCGTGGAAAATATGGTGATGGACATATAAAAACTGTGGGGTGAAAGAACAAAAAGCACCATAGCATAAACACACAATTGCATTAAGCCCTAAATTTCTTAAATATTCTATCGATAAATATGCTCCATACCAACTTAAAACAGGATGAATGGGATAGATTCTTGAAATCCATCATCAAAAGTTGAACATTTATTGGCACCAGGCAGCATATAATGGATACCTCGATCAAGAAGAAGGTATTAAATATAATAAAAGTGTTTCGTAAATAATTCGTCAATCAAAATGTTGGTAAGTTGTTAAGTAAGTATTACAGAAGAATGCAGTGATCCATGGAAATGTTTGCTTTGCCGCTTCTCCCAAAAAGAATAGTTCAAAGGATTTTGTCTATCACGATACCATCTACTGAATGTTGTAAGTAGTCAAAATGAACTGATGTAAATAATTTCACATTTCACTGTTGGACTACACGGAACGGAAGAACATTTTTAACCCTAATGAAGCTGGTGATACTAACCAGACAGAAAGATTATGCCTTTAGCTGAAGTTGCATGTCTCCTGTTTACCAATGAAATTGGTTATTGGGTTTATTCAGTTCAATGAAAACGAAAATTCCTTCACACAGTACAAGATGTGAATATAAATGCGCATTACAAAGTTATCCAAAAGCATTCGACCAAATGTGGGTAAAACTTTCATATTTTGAAAAGGCCCTCGCGTCTAATGGTGGAGTTGTTGCATTTTCTTATGTCACAGTTGCTCGAATTGCATGATCACACACACACAAACGGCCACACACAAACTTTGATGACATGCCTTTGACGGTGCCGAAGATACGGGCTGATTGTTACTCGAAATCCCGGTTTATATGAATAGCCCCTTGTAGACACATGCGTAGATCGTTCGATCGTTCAGATAGTCTGATTAGGTGATGTGGACATCAAATCATCATCCTTCGTCAATTTTAATTGCGCAGACCTTGTAGATTGTGCACTATTTACAACCGTACTTGTATAAGGTGAACCTCTGCTCGTGTGCACGAAGGTGTTTGTGATTTTTCCAAATAGAAAACATAAAATTTTACGAATTATGAAGGTTTGATGCTCAGACCGCGTTCTCGGAAGCAAAGAAGTTGACACTTCTATTCCCTGACATGTTCAGTGCATATCGAATACAGGGAAGAAGGGCAATTAATGCACAAAATCGATAAGAGGAATCGTGTTACCTTACAAGATTATTCGTGATCGGAATTAGCAAACTATATCGGACAATGCCACTCGATCGACTCATAAAAGTGGCATAGGTCAACAGGACTGACATTCCAGCCCCGGTATCAAATGCATTTTGACTGGCCGCTGCAATCCAAACACCGGGTATTCCGAGGCTGGCTGTCGATGGATGAAAAGACAAGAAGGATCAAGAGGAGGAGGTGAAGTAACACATTAAATCATACAGAGAAACACAACATGTTTAATTCGGTTGCTTGGATATTCACTTCGTTTTGCTTAAAAATAATGGTCGCAATCGTGTTTAATCTAACGTGGATTAGTCCACCATGTTTGACAAAAAGATGCTAACATAACCGTCATCAAATGTAGGAGAGAATAAAATTATTCCTTCGATGCAAGAGAGAAAATGAAAAGAGAAAGAGATATTTTAGGCACATCAAAGCGAGTATATATATACATATATATAATGTTAATAACGTCAATTTGTAAAACAATAAGAATCCTTTTTGTCATGAACTAGTTATTTCTCACAACGTTTATGAGAATCCGTGATAATTTTAAACCATGTCGTGATTAAATGTTTTGTACAGCGAAAAGAAAAAGTGAACCTGACCGTTCAAATTCACTCTACAGTACTCAATCTGTTGAGCTAACTCAGTGTGACTTATTTTCAAAGGGGGCAACTGAATATTGCCCAGGTGTTCAATGCAGGAGAGCAGTAAGGAGAACAATCAGCTGGGTTCCGGTTGGGAGTGAATACAGGACTGACCTGACAAGCACACAATATTTCAAGGATTTCTGCAGAGTATTAAAATTGAGATATTTTAGGGAAAAATTCTTTCTATTAGCCAACCAGAGAAGATTCATTTGACGATCGAGCTTACTTAAGAAGTTTGACACTGTCATATTTGCTTGCTGATAGTAATCTACCTATCAGAATGAATGCATAATTGCTGTTCGATCTGTTTTACTGGAAATCAGTCGTCTGTTCTACCCGACTGGACAAATTCACTCTGTTACAGACTGTTTAATAATCTCATTGCTATGTTTTGTTTTAAAAATAACATCAGTGTTATACAACAACAAAAAAATAATCTGATCATCAACGAAAACATAAAATCACTAAATCTAAGCTTTATACATTATATCCGATAAAAAGTAACCAATTCTGAATAAATGCATACATCTATTACCTCATCCAAGTGCATAAAATTATCAAGTCTAATCAAGGTCAATTAGACTTTTGAAATACACACGATTCCATTGAATAAATTGATGTTTCTGTTAACCTGTCGGTGGTGGACTTTGGTCACGTATTTCCCAGTCAAAGCGCTCGCTCATTTGTATCTGAAAAGTTATGAGTTTTCATTTCAGAGGGACCTCAATGGTAATGCTAAATATTCTTATTTAGTGCAGAAACAACTATGAAGCAATAGCCGTGGGTCGTAGCAACAGTTTCCTAAAAATATCTGGGTTTTTCATTGTATACATATCGTGTGTGAGTAATGGAGGATTTGATTCAATTTAATAGAAGGAATTCGTCGTGCATAGAGTAAACGAACGGTAAACTGAAAAGCCAGGAAACACTGTACACCTGTTACAACCTGGTTGGGTCTCATCACACCGTGTTTGACGCTCGCATTCATGATGTATTCACAAAAAGCACCTGTAGACAGCGCATGCTACGCAAAAGGCATGTTGTTTTGTGTATTCAGTTCTGTAGATTTCGACATTACATCTGTTTCGATTTCAGTGATTTTCGCTTGTCTTATAGAGATTTCAATTTTGGTCAGTTGAAACACTTCCAAATGAAAAGGACTGCAGAGTCACAAGTTGTTACTGTGTCAGAGGATGAGTAAAATATTTATTACAATGCCTGCATGTTACCAACAGCAAAATTGGTTCATCTTACAAAAGACTACGATAACAATCGATTGATATTTCGATTCAAGGACTGAATGTTAGGATCTTTTGCTAAGGTTCCAATGTGACCGTCTTTCAGAGCCATTCTCATCTCAATGAAATTTGTTTTATAATCCTATCCGACAGAAAGTAAAACTTTTGGTGTATTAATGAATTTTCGGTACCAACTGCCCCTTGTTGAATGATTGAAGACAGTTACATTTGTAGTGTGTGAGATACTATGCACTTGGGAGTGGTAGTTAACTTTCAACGGTCAAAAATATAACAAGACTACAGAGAGCCAACTGATGTGTCTGAAAAAATAGCTACCGAATACTGGATACATTACCCTGTGTGTCGGAAAGAATTGCGATGGCACGTTTCTGATTAGGTTTTTGTGTTTTGCATGCAAAATTACTGACGTCCCATCCGTAATCCTCAATGTACGAATATCCTCGATCAGCACCGCCTTCTGGATTTATAACACTATTAGTGACAGTGATAAACAAAGAAGTCGATTGGAGTGCTGATAAATATTGCGAACCGAGAAGAGACAAAATAAATAAATAAAAGTTGAAGCCAAAACGTCTTAAGAATTCCGAATAGTTTAGTCCCGATTAAAGCAATGAGTTGGTGTGTTACTTCCCGGTGCCCGAGAGCAAACTTGCCACAATTGACAATGAGTGAACTAGTACGTCTGTGCATGCACGCGTGTACTCAAACTGTTTATTGTAAAGAACCAGACCAGTTGCACAGCATGTTGAGAAAACAAGCAATGACTGAATAAAAAGTGACCATATGCGCTCCTCGTTTGGTGTGCTTGTATGAATAGACTATAAAGCAGAATCCAATTTATTGGACTTAATATTGATCCACATAAATGTTGATGAGACAAGAACTCAGAATGAAAAAGTCGGACGGGTTAGCAGGAAATGGATTACAGTTCGATCAACCGACTGGCGAAGCTGTTTTACATAGAGTTGTGTAAACCATCCAAAAGGAATCACGACAAACCGTCTCGCTCTATTTATATTGAATCGAATCAAAATCGATTCGGTTTTTCCAATTATGATAAGCACGTACGTTGCTATGATCCACAGTGAATCGATTGCGTAGGCTTTACTGCTGATATATATGTATACTCACAAAAAGGAGTCAGAACGAGGAGAACTGTTCATTACATACAAGAGTGACGGTATAGAGGAATTGATATACATGAAACAAAGTGTCTCATTTCGATCGGTTAATCATAATTCACAAAGCGCGCAGGATAATTAACTGAACAGTCCAACGGTAGAAGCGCATTCCTCAGTAACAATTTTGAGCACGGTATTTTGCTCCAGGAGGTCTTGTTTATTTTTTGATCGTTGTGAGAAACCGCCAATCGTATTCTTCTGTGCAACGCAAACACACTACTCACGAATATGAGTAGTATCTCACACCGTTACTACTACTACTACTACCACTACACTGCTGCTAGGAATGACGGTGATCATAATGACACACTATCCAAACTATTTACTTCACTATGCCAAATGGTATCCTTTATGTGGGATGTAACAACATTTGTTCTATGAATGTGTGGTGGTATTATCTCCCTGTTTAATCCATCTTCGGATACGGTAACTGGTATAATAGATAATAATCTATTCTGGTGTGTTTCCCGAATTGGAGCATGATATAAATGTCACTAAAGTCCCGAGTCTTCTCTGGTTGATGTATAAAGTTCCAAATGTAAGTCGATTTCGTAATCCGTAGGCGTGAAAAAATAGGTTAGAACGGGATAAACAGTGATCATGCTTGCACATAACCAGACTTATAAACGCGCCATTTTTGATCAAGTTCATTTTGACATCATTGACTGATTCATTTTTCGAAAAAGCACTCTCAGACAAACACACGCAAATCTATTCATTCAAACGTATATCCAACAGGGAGTGATAAACAGACGATTACTCTTTACTCCCAACTGTAGGCTTCAGACCAATTATGTACTAAATCTGAAACAAATATCATATCGGCACCAAAGATCATTAGTAAATCTATTTCACAGTTCACTCCAACATTTTCATCACAATTTCGGCCACAAATGCTCACTATGCCAGAAGAATAACCCCAATTTCTGGTCTTTTTTGAACTTCAAACGGATTCAGGTTTATCTGTACATCGACTTTCAGTTCTTTGTGGGAAAAAGAAATATGGTAGAGGAGCATGCATTGCCCTGGGAATAAAATCTCATGACAAATAAACTGATCATGATGTATGTAAGTAATCACCTTGATTAGCCTGGCTCAACGGGTTATTATCTATCGACCTTTTTGTATCTATAATTTCAAGTAGTACATGGGAACCTGATCGAATACTATCCCGTCTTAGAGATAATGGGTGGTTTGCATTCCTTCAAAGGTTTTTCTAAAATTGTTTGGGAACTCCACTTTCGTGGTGGTTCATTATGCAAACGTCCTACTTGGTTGTAGTAAATGGAACCATGACGAAAAATCGTGCATTAGCAAATCCGTGACACCAATGGCAATGACTTAAAATAAGCTCTTGAAGACCAGCCAAGATAACGCAGGTGGTTGACATGTCGAATTATCAATCTAACGTGTTCAGTGTAATCGATAGATTTGCTCCAGTGATGCACACCCCCAACAAGGATGAAACAAACGTACACGTCATGATACCGAATCTACATTAGCAGCATATTCCCGTAGACAATTTTCTGTTTAAGCTGGAGTGATTCTGAATGGAAAATCTCGCTAACGCATCGTCTGAAGACTGTCAAAAATGATTATGTAATGCAGGGTAAATAGGTGTCTGGTAAATCTATCTGCTAACCCACTGTGTTTCAAAGATCACTGAGAGTTGTTGAATGATAATAACAAAAATGCTAGTCACAGCCTGCAGGTACCTCATCCAAAACGGTCTGGATGTGTATCTGGGTTTGAAAAAGCTTCCAATGGGCAATAATGTATTCATAAAATATCAGTGTGTATAGATAGAGGCTGAATAACCATGTAAGACGGAGTCAGTACCGCAATCAAATCTGTCAAATAGGATTGCATTGTCTCGGAAGCTCCGTGCAGTGGAGCCACCCAAGCCGTTTACGAAAGACGCTCTCCACTTAGGCTGTGTTTCAATCATGCAGTGCTATGGCAAATATCCGTTTATTTATCAAGATTCTCCCACTTTCGGGCAGGAATGAATGTACTGTCCATTACATTATAAAATCTTAGTGAACAATCAATAATCATTAATGGATAAGTGCAAAGTGAACTGCAGAATGTTTTATAATTATTTATGTCCCTTATTGCCAACATGCTCAATCGATTTCGGAAAGCAGTGAATTGAAAATAAAAGATAAAACAGCCAACTCAAACTTACCCCAATTCGGTGTCAACAGGAATGAGATACCCACTTCCGCATACGGACGTGTGAGAGACCATGCAAAAGTAAAAACCACAATCATCAAGAGCAGTGGGACGAGAAACAGATTGGCGCGTTCAATCCAACGGATCCCGCCAAAAATAAACGATCCGGCGATTACCAAGGTAAGCATCTGTGTGAGAACCGGCCAAGAAGAGTCCTGGTGTGATAGATCGTGGACAAAATGTAGGAAGAATGTGGCCGGTGGATGTATGCAAACATGAGCAAACGCGGCAGTAGGGAGTAGAGCGTAGAAAAATAGAATAGGTATAATTCACTGCAAGTCAATGGTTACAATATAAGAACATGAAACGTGATTTTTCGACTGAGCTAACTCGAAGTATCTGGGCTCACATAGGATTCAACGACTGTTTTATCACAGACACAGACAAACATTTTTTGTCCGTTTTGCTGCTTAAAAAATGACAAAGATGTTATTTTCCTGTTGAAGATATCTTAGTAATGAATAGATACATGTTTTTAGTTGTTCACGAGTCTCATTAAACTAGAAACAGGGCATAACATGTATAATGCATTAAAGTGAAATTAGAGCTGGAGGGAAGTGCATGTTTGATATCTACTTCAGGTTCACTCAGGCTTGACCTATACCCGTGTGCATATTTAATTCACGACATTTTGCTTTCGCAGTAATTTTCCGGCTTATACGCTGAGTTCCATTAGACTAAGGGCATAAGCAAACACATAATGGAGGTTCTAAACTCCCCGTCACTGGTGTCCATTGTTTGGAATTTTGGGTGACAGATCTTTGTCTGCTATAGGGATGCGTCTATGGATACACCTCAATCCGCTGAACAGCTACAGCCAAATGCTTCACGATAGAAACAGTTTCATATTTGACCCTTAAGCTCAAGATTTATTGATCAATTGGGCCAATAATTCTTTTCGTAGTTTTCGTATCTGACTTTTGACCATCATGGATACCAAAGACGAAGATTCACTGAAGATATGATCTATCCATCTCGAGTCAAACAAAATTTGAATGTTGTATAAAGGCATCATTGCAAAGGTAGGCCCGAGAGCAACAGTAAGTTAGGAACACATTTGAAAACAGAAAGAAGGTATACAAATTTTCATTAATAGGCACTCAACGTCGTTGATGGAGCGAAGTAGATAATACATCGCGCTCAGTTGATACGGTAGGCACCCAACGAACAACACACACAAATAGTCCAAGTTTTCTTTGGTGGAAAGCGGTATTAGTGCTTATATTAATTGGTCCTAAAATGCATTTACTTGAAAAGCCAAGGTAATTAAGTAAATATTTTGATAGTTTAGCCAATACTAATGAATGCGGAAGCGCATAAAACGCCTTCTGGTACGGTTTTCAGGTACACTTTTCTGGGTTTACTCTCATATAAGCTGTAATACTGTCTCAAATATCTGAACTGCACTGATAAAATCACAATTCCGTTTGTGAATCCACTTTTGGCACTTTTGTTCTAATATCTTAATCCAAACTGTGCTTCAAATTTCGAGACTGATTACTTGAATGCACTGGGCTTGAAAATATAGCCTATCCATCCTTCAATGCCCATATTTTGCAAATAGCTTGTCACCTCCAAGTTTCGTGTATTATCCAGCGTACTGATGAGCAAATCAAGCAAAATGATCAAGCTTGTTGATTCTAAGATGTCCTCCGAAGCCCACTGCCGATCTGGTGTACCCGTAAAGAAAGAGTTTTCCTTCATCGCTCACTTGTGCAATGACTAACAAGTAGCGCCATGATGCCACCTAAGGGGCATCTCTTCGTCTAGTGAAAATTTGTCTTAGTTAATCAATCTTGGCATTCGCCCCACTCCCCCCTCTGGCGACGAGTATCGAAATGAATTGATCTAACTAGTCGGGTAACGACGGATGGTAGGATAGTCACTGAAACTATGATCACTATTTAATGAGTCGCTTGGGAGTGCACTTACTTCTTCCTATTTAGAATTCGGTTGTCAGCCACAGGATTAAAGTAAGTTGAATTGATATGAATCATTGACGGTTGTGTTGGTATTTATCGACTTGATTGTTACAGAAATCCTCTTCAATGGCCGTCAACAAACGATCATTGTAGTATTTTAGTTGAGAGAAAGGACTTATTAAAATGAGTTTGTTGCGGCATTTGTATATGCACGCCAGACTTCTGCAAAAGATTATTGGTAGGTAGTCATCCTGTCTCATGGAAACACTCATACGAAACTCGTTTCAAGTTCGGATCAGATTTGTATTACGAGGCCATAGCTTGTTCTGAATCAGTCACTTACCCGGGCAAAATCATTAAATAACTTCTGTCCGGCTTCTTCATCTCCTGGCAGTTGTGAAGCTGTGCATGACACATAAAGATAATACAGGCACCATCCGACGATCACAGGATAGTAAGCACTGCAGCGCATAAAGAAAAAACCGGCACGAATAGAAAGAGAGGGTTGGGCCTTGGTTTACGTTTGTTCATGAAGGTGATCAATACCGAACATTGAAACTTAATAAACATTCATTTAACACTAAGTTCAGAATCGATACTTCAATTTCGAAATAAATGACATTGAAAGATTCAACACATTTGCTTTCGTTCGAGAAATAACAATACTCTTGATTACAACAAAATTCAGTGTGAAATTAAAAGGGAAGGTTATTGATCTTCCATTTACAACCAATCCGGCCGTTTGCATGGAGAAAAATGTTATCAAAATGGAAAGCTGTGCAAACGAACATTTTGAAATGCAACCCATTATGGGATAGGGTTACTGATCAATCTCTATCGTTTTGCATATTTATGTGATTTTATATTTGCTAATGTGCGCGTATCTTTGCTTGTAATTCTGTCTCACGAAAAGTGTTGTGTCTACCTGCAATTCCATAAATCTTTACATGGTGCATTGGTCAGGTTACCATCTGAAGAAGCATATCGGAGTTTGTGGTGAAAATGTCAATCGATTATACCTATCTTTGGTTTTCTAATGCACAAAATGGCATCTCATTTTCCCGGGAATGGTTATTGTTATTAAGGCCTTTATGACTAAGGAAGGGAAAAGGTGACTTCATCCTTTTGGCGTTCCGTTTGTTTTCCTGTCCAGGAGCCACAACTTTGAGAGTGAAAAATTCGTCTCCAGCTAGGGTGCAGCCTGGATATAGAAAAAATATCTGGGATACGACTTGGCGGGATAGGGAGCCACACGTAGATTCACAACAATAAACTGTCTTCTTCACAGGTAACCAATGCGATCTGTTCATCTCAACAGCAAACCTATCCCATTTAACCCACATGCAGTTCTATACTCCATTTTCTCGAGGATTGGGTCAGGGGATTCCTCAACCGATTAGTCAATAAGTCTTCTTGACTAAGATTTGAACCTTTTTCTTCTGAGTATCTCATTCAAATGTATGACAAAAAAAGATATACCTGATAAAGAATACTGTGGTTACGAGCCATCCACCAATCCAGACGAAATATTTGCCAAAAAATTTGTAGTAGACTGCCGGCACGGAATTACTCGTGAATCGACCTAACGCGTATTCGACCACGATTATCGGGATTGACCAAAGGAACAATAATGTGATCCAGGCAATGTAAAATGATAGTGAACCTGAAAAAGAAGAAGAAAACTAGTTAAAACTTGCACCGTATTTGCGAAATTGTTATTCACTGATCATTTGTTTGCTATCGGTTGACCTGTTCTTGCAGATCTGACTACGTAAATGTACCTTTGTTTTTAAAAGTATTGAAATTTATGCAACCAAATAAAATCAGGCGTCACGTGACCGAGGAGCTGTGGCGTACTGAATAACATCACGTGTAAAGGTCTCGAGGGAGATAGTTCATTTTTCTGGAAAAAGGAGACTTGTTGTAGTTTATAGCTGCAAAAAGTTGACCATGAGCACCCATATCACTGGCACTTTTGTAAGAGAATCATCGGTTCAGACCTGACAAATGTCAAAAGCTTAGACGTTTTTTCACCAACGAGATGCTCTATTTCTGAAGTGAACCCCAGTTTTCTACCACACCATTCAATCAGATTTTTGGTTCTTCTATTCACCAAAAGGATTTTGTAGACTTTTAACATCCTTACAATGACGGCATGTAGTCTGATGGCGATTAAGCCATTATTAAATTGCTCCACGCATCCTGTGTTCGAGTTGTACCCTCGTCACCGGATAGTTTTGCTCTCCCTAAACGGTAACTCTGTGGGTGTTGTGATTTTACCCCGGGGGGTTCATACAATGTTATGTGATCAGTGAAAGGGTTGGTGATACCATTCACCACATGTTTTCTGTTGGACTGATATAAGTTTTCTTGGATTCGTGAATGATTATCGACTACTTCTGTGTTTTCGAGAAAAAGAAATTTCAATGAAATCAATTATTATCTTTGCAATTCTATTTTCCATTCTATTAACCGAGATAAAATTTCGACTGCAGTAATTGAGTCAGAGGTTGATAATACTCTTTCTTTTATACTATGCCAGCAGGTAAATTCTGTGTCTATGGATCTGTTTGGTTGAGTCTATCTCAGTAACTCAGTCATGATGAAGTGATTTTTGCGAATTCCAGTTTCCAGTTTTTTATGTTTAATTGATGCACCTTATTTTAATTTTTGCAGTTCTTTCGGTAACTAACATCATTTTCTATTTAACCGACCATTTCACTCTTCAAGTACAACAGAATTACTTGTACCCTTTGAAAGTCACAGTATGTTCGGGGGTGGATGCCTCACATTGTGGCTGATCACCCTTCCTGGTACCTCGCGAAGTGATCCTATACTACAAACCATCCAATAAACCTTCTGCTGGAGAAGTCCTCCCACTTATTGCATTTCCGTGGTGGAGTTGTCTTCTTACCTAAGTGAGAGGATGAAAGGCCAACATTCCGTGCTATAGCCTTGCCGGTGAATGACTGGTACTTCACCTGGGAATTTGGCTAGGAATCCAGATTTCGAATAAACCAAAGAGAGGCGTCCGAACTACATCCACCCACACCTTCCTGGTTGTGCCACTGGTCACCTGCTTTATTAGGCATCGACATGTACTTGGCACATTGGACGTTTGATTCCGTCCTAATAGCGTATGGCCTGATGAATTAAATACCGTTACCCAATGGATCCCGATTTTCAGACACCGCTCCGTTGCTTTGCGGGCCAGGCTTTGACTAGCCGAAGGCTCCGACTGTGGAGTCCCCAAGAAAATTCTCCTGACTTGAGCTGGTTTACCTAGCACTATGATCCTCAGAAGCATATCATGGAACATTTTATCCTTTTAAGGGTGTTTTCCGGTGATTTGTTCGACATATTCTTGACTTTGATAGTTATAAAAGTGCTTGTAGCTCCACCAGTCTTGTGGTTGCTGATTTTATTTCACATAAAAGAAACCGTCATCGCCATTTGTTAACTGGGTTGGTCACTGGATGATTTTTTACAGAATGTAGTCGGTCTAACGTAGTACTATTCATTGGGTCTACAGGGAACTAATGTACCAAGAAGCAAAGAAAAATGCTCCTGGTTTTCCGCTTCACCTGGGACCCATTAAAAATGCGTAGAAATTGAGTCTCTGAAAGAATTATCATTTGTGCATAGATTGATGACGATGCCTCAAAATTCAATCCCAATGTATTTAGTGCGTTATTGACCAAAAATAAGGTTGTACATAAATACATTATTGTATGTATTTATACACACAAAAATGGAACAGCGCTTCTCTTGTTAAATCAGTACTACATTAAAATGGGCTTTTATTAAAGAAAAGGTTTTGTTTATCGCTTCGTTTAAACAGATGAACAGATGTGAACATGTTTCAATGACGACAATATAGCTTCTTCAATAATCTTTTTTGAATACGTGCCTCGTAAAAAGGAACCAGGGTTTGAGTGTTTCTGATAATCTGTCCAAACTTTTATGTACTGATAAGAGAAGAATTTTATGCTATTTGCAGAAACCTGGTGACTTAAATCAAACAAACGCTACAAATGCCGTTCACTGATCTTCAGGATCGCCTATCTCACTCGAACACATTTAGTCAGATTATCAAAACATAAAATTTGTTCGCTTTTCATTGGTTGGTTCGAGGGGAGATAGAAAGTAAAAAGGAAATGAGTAAAATCCGTTCGATCGAAGCAATGCACTCACCTTTAGAGTAACTGTATGTAGCCACGATACGCGGGAAACGCCAAATATTACCGGTCCCTACAGCACTGCCCAGACAAGATACAATGGACCCGATCGTCGAGTTGAACATAGACTTTTTATGTTCAGGCAAACGTAACTCTACTTGACTGGATTCTTCTGAGGATTGTATCTGAAAAGCCAAGGGTAACATGGGTCAATCTGAAAGCCGTGGTATGCAAAACCCTAGTTTGGTTGATTAGGATAGCAAGATAACATACCAGAAATTAACCAGAAAATTTTGCTTTCAAGATTAGCATCGCACGCACAGCTGAAAAGCCTTGCGAGGATTGTAAAACTGTTTTATCTCTTTTAGAAATAAATGCACAAGGAATTAAACCTGAGAACAAAAGATCCGACTGAATAACATCTTGGCCGATGAAGTGTCGTTTCTTCAACCAGAAAGTGTATCAACCCATGGTTGGAGGAGCACGAGAAAAATTGTAGTGGGACGGATAGTCTGCACTGGCGACTAAAACTTAATACTTCTCGAAATAAATAAGCATTTTCTCACTAATTAGGTGATATTGTGTACTCATTGACTGTCATATCAATTTTTACTTGTTGATAAACGGCTTTTTTTACTCTTTTTCTCTTTCCCCAGCTAGGTGTTAACCCCCTTCCCGTCCTAGCATGGAGAATTCGTTTATGGCAAAACAAAGTACGGGGGCATTATATGTCTGAAAAGACTCACCAGAACGATAGATCGATCCAGTCATGATATGAAACTATTTCAATCCAAGTACTTGAGCGTTTGTATTCAACAAATTTAGCTTTTTCATAGACCCAACAGTAGTTTACACTTCCAACATAGCTTAGCTACCGAACTCTGAATGGAATGTAAATTCTAGCCACTAAAGTCGTGATATAAGCTATCAGTCGGAGAATAAACGCTTACCTCTCGATCACACAATCGCTCAACTTTTTGCATCGATACACTCACCCACCCTCCCACCCAGAAACTAATGCCATAACTTACCTGTAGTTGTTAACTGGTAGTTGGAATTTGTGAAAGAAAATACGGTCACATTCTTGCTGCTTTTGGTTTGTTAGTTTATTTCATGACCACACCTATGTCCGACCCCCAAAATGAACAAAATGTAAGCATATGAACTTCAAAAGACAGACTCCTTGCATGTATGATTTCAAACATGATCTGGCTCGAGTATGTTCCCTCGCGAAACAGAAATCACACAGGAGGCAAATAGATCTGTGAAGTTGAACCAAACGGCCGTTTCGAACGTCAAAATGCTTACTTACAGAAAAGCACACAATAAATTTGTACCTAGAATTATCGTTACATTAGATTCAACAAACAGTTTCAAGCAGGTCTATACATCGTGCTGTTCATATGTCGAAACCGAGAACAAACCCCATCAACTAGTTGAACAAATAAGTTGGTTAACTGCAATCTAATGGAATACGTAATCCGTGGAATTTAAACTAAATCGGGTTGCATGGCACGACGCACAGACCGATCAAATGATGGAGGTGAATTAATTTCACGTGGTTCGAATTTTTGATCAAATTCAATACACTCTACTGGTGCTTGTCGTAAATTGCTGTTTTGTCTCCATATGATCCATCGAAGCAGATACTGGTCGACAGTTCTCTTTCGCTGTCTCAAGCACCAGTCATTGCTGCCATACTATAGTTTGCTGACTGTCAACCTTGTATTTTCAAACCAACGCGAATTTCGTGCAGTTCAAACGAGACGGCACAGATTTCGTGGCGTCAAATAGAAAGAAAACAGCGTCCCGCCGAGCACAACATCCGCTCNTTGCATGGTGTGTGCGAACTCACATTCACAAATGGCAATATGTGATTACCTACTCCTACGAACAGATGCACAGTTACCAGAATTGCCCCCAAAAATTGAACACTCCACAAGTGAAAGAATGTCAGCACTCGACTGGTTGATTGGAGTACGTGGTTGGGAAAATTTGTGGTTGAGTTCTCGTTCAAGTTAGTTCAGTCGTGTGTCAGACAATCACATTTGCTGATATCATTTTTAAAAGACACGGTGACGGGTGTTCGCGTTTATTACGCTGTTGTTTTTTTACCTTTAAATAGTAAATGAATACCAAGGTTTGAGCAACTTGACTGAAAAGCATTCGATTTAAGTATCTGATGCAGTTATTTCGTGAAAAGTATATCCGAAGGGACCTCAGCAATCAGAGTCAATCAATGAAGTCTTTTCTCAATTGAATATTGCACTCCCTCCCATTAAAGAAAGTAGTTGGTGAAGTCTGGAGGAGAGGTTTGAGCTCGTCTTGATGGAAAAACGACGGCCTTCTTTCTGGATTATTGAGATATCTATGAATGCAGGATTCATATACGCCCTGTATTTGTTAATTGAACACTTTGATCGGTGGGTATACTGGTCTCTTTTGGAACCGGAAATCTCGTTTTTCTTCCTATGCCGCTTTTGTCTCTATCTCGAAAGCGTTTTATTCATCCACAGCTTTGATCTAGCATTTTTATTCAATTGAGCTCTATCTACAAACTACGACAGCATTACATAGGTAAACATTGCACCTAAGTATCGAAAGCGTGTTTTACTTTCTTGTCAAATCGATAAAAGTGTGAGTTGCTTCCGCAAATCAGTCCGTTATGAGCAGAGTGTGAACTAGTCCGTCACGTGAAAATGTAAGAAAGCAAAGCTCATAGACCTCCAGGAAAAATTAGGGACTCGTTTGACTACTGTTGAACCTGTTTTTGCCTGTACAATTCACAAAATACCCATTTATTTATCACAATATGGCCCCACTGAGTGCTCGAAAGTTTGTTCATACAAATTTGGATTGCTCGTTGTAGAGTGCCGTTCAATATTCAAGTGTATCAGTGCAACGTTTATGGCTTACAATACGAGACTACCTGATAAGGCTTTCCTCTCCGAGCTAAAACTAGATAGCGGCAATGTTCTTATGTAGTACTGTTGGTAACCAATGCCCTTAAGTTGACAGTAGCATCAGTGCTATTACCCTCTTCATTACTTATCCAAATCGCTTTTATTGTGAAGAATCGAATACCAATTAGGAGCATTTCGTATCTATCCATTCCGAATTATGGTTAATCAAAAAATAAATCAAATATATTCGTTTCCCTCAGTAACTGAGTTACTTTCACATATGACATGGACTGCTCAATGCTATAACCTAATTCCAGCCTTTCAAACATTTCACGTTTGCGACAAAAGTGTGCAGGATTAAATGAGAAACAGTTTGAGTTTCGAGCACCCATCGAATTGAGCAAATTGACGCAGACAGCTCGCAGTAGGAACACAAGGGTACAATTATGTGATCACATCATAAAGTTACACAAATTGTACGTTATGTTTGCAATTTTAGTCCATCATATCTTAAACCTATTTGGAACTCTACAACACACCGTTCTCAAAGCCAGAGGTCTTACATTAATTTCTAATTTCAGTATGTGATTGTTTTTTTCTGAAATAAATTTTGTCATAGTGCCATGGGCGAAACGCAAACGTACTGCTTGATTACCAGTCACCATATCACTGATTCGGTCTGTTTTTACTATTAGTGAATATCAGCCACCAAACAATCTTACCTACGTACATACACCATTTAGGAGGGAGTAAGTGAATGGTAAAGATTACTGGAATATTGCACCGCAGGACGTGTGTTCGAATCCCACCACTGCCGACTGACTTTCCCTTTTTTCGTGTTTTCACAGGCCTTTGATCAACTGCTTTCCCTATCCTCTATACTCAATTAAAGGAATAAAAAAACAGAAAACATTCCGAAGTTGTACCTGGGTTCAAAACTTTTTGAATTCAATCTTATGTAACACTGGAGTGTTAAGGAATTCGGTTAAAGCATGCGACTATTCATATCCATCAATTCTAGGTTACCTATATGATTTAGTGGTCACAAACGATGTCTGAATACAGGTGTTCAATGAACTAGCTGCAGTTTTTCCTTCAGATGTGGAGTGCTAAGTTCATCACTCTGTGAACAAACGGATCTGTCTCCATGTGAATTTATGAAACAAAACCCTCATTCATTGCTCGTCGTATCAGGTTTGCACGTGTATGTCTCTCTCAAAACAATTACTAAACCCATTAGTATTCAAACGCAATCGATTCCAACAATAGTAATCATGAACGCTGTTCAATCTAGTATGGAATTAAACCCCTTTTCGTTCTTAATTTCTGACATACCGGAATAACAAGTACTTCCGTGAATGTTGTTCTACCTCACAGAGAAAGATAGAGTCGTGCGGGGAGGGGCATGGTAAAATTCGATTGAGAGCTCAACCAGCACTTAATAGGTGAATGTGAAACCAAACCGTCTACCTAGAATAGTGTAACTGACACGATTCGCACCCGATCTGTGATGACATGCAAAAAATCCAATCCATCGTAGGGGTCAGTAGACGAAAACGCCAGTTTGCGACCCACATTTATCATATTTAGCATAGAACGCTTGATTGACGTTCAAACTGTCAATTGCAGACCTTCACCACTCTGGCTTCATCGCCCAAATTGACGCACACAAAGCATTAAATTGACGGAGAAATTGCAGATTATACAACCGGTGAATGAAAGACAAATGAGTATCGTGGACATACCTCAATTTCTGTCGTAGTCGAGTCATTTCTCACATCACCATTAACGTATGAGAATCGTTCAACTTTTGTTACAATGGCGTGGTTGTTGTTGGCAAACTCGTCTTTTCCCATGACTCAAGAGCGAGATGTTCTTTAGAAACAAGGAAGAAATGACTGATGCGTCAAAGTCGATTTGACGCAATCAAACGAGAATTGTTTGCTGTATTTAAAGAAAACTGTCTGGGTAGGGAAAAGATAGAACAGTTGAAGTGAAAATACACTGAGTGAGTCTTAGTTTTCGCGCTGAGCACTTCCCGTACAGACTAATTTATTACCTTCTGGAATGATGTGTATTGGCCATCTGGAAAAAGATCACATGGCGTCACACACATAGACATGCACATAACTACACACTAACAGTTATTTTACGAAAAAAATAATCTCGATTGGTGCCGTTACTTGGTACTGCTCAAGGTCAGTGAGACGAGCTCTCCGAGGATTGGTCTGCAGATATGCGAGGGGTTGTGGCATGTAAATGCACAGAGAAGGGTTTCGAACCATGTGCGCGATTGTGTGCATAAGCATTTTTTAGTTTTACAAAAGGTAAAAATATAAAACATATATTGGATTGTGAAAATCCTTGAAACTATTTGGAAATTACGACTTTTACAGCTAGCTAAAACATTCCTTTGAATTTCTTGCACAATCACTAATACGAGACTCCGTGCTTGCAAACCAAATGTTGAAAAGTGCAAATGAATTCAATTGTAGCTCACCTAATGATCTGTAAGAACTGAAGTTCAATAGAAACTTTGAAAAATGCTGCCACTATGAGTATGTTTTAGTAAAGTACTTGAGAAGCAAACGGCACATAAAACAAAATGAGTGGCAGGATTTGCTTATGTGACTCTGATTCCGATCTACGCAAAAAGGATACGCGTGTTTTGCTGACACTACAATAAATAAACTTGACGCGAACATCTGATAACGTGTTATGCGTATCAAGTGGTTTTGTTTTACACACTAAACGATATTTTCAAGTGAGTATTGGAGGATTTGGCTCAATTTAAAAGGTGAATTCGTCGTGTATATAGCAAATGAAGCGTGAACTGAGAAGCTAGGAAGCACTTGAACTAAGTAGTCTGGTTGTGAATGTTTCCAACCGAGTCATAACTCGGAGGATAACGCTGGGTTGAGCAGGGTGGCCCGCATCAAGCTCGCAAAGATGGGTTGTACCATATCATATAAATAGTAAATGAAAAACTGTCTGATCAGCTGCCCGGTGGCTGAGTGGGTAGTATGCATGCGTTCTGCCCATGAGGTCCCGGGTTCGATCTCCAGTTGGGTCAATGAATTCGCACTGCTGATGAGATTCAAACAAGTCGAAATACCTATGCAGTGCTTCCGAGCTTTTCAGTTCATGCTTCATTTGCTATATACGCGACGAATTCACCTTTAAAATTAAACGATAATCACTTTAATATTTACCTACAACTTGACGTATTCAATTTTTTCAAAGCACTCAAACGTGACACTGATTTTGAACGTTGTATGTTAAATTCTGTCGAAGATCTTTTTGGGAGGAAGCTGGTTCTGTGCACTACTCCTGTTACCACGGATCGATAAGACGGTGAATGAGATCTCTGTCTGATAACAGACAGACGTATAAATACATCCGATGATATTACGCTTTACACCCGTTGCTTGTGTATGAATGTAATTCGATATTCGACCGAATTTTCCCATAGTGCATTCAAACAGGATAGTAAGTTCTCCGTGGAACACAAAATGCAGCGGTAATAACAAAGATACTTTGGTATGAACCGGAGCCAACACACAATAAACCACCATAAGCTACATTCCGTACAGGAAAAAAATAAGTTTCATACAAAGCAATCTTAATCATATACAGGAAACAAAACGATGGAATCATTTCACTTGATTTCTTTTTGCAAATGAAGAACGGAAAGTGAACTACTTTACCTTTGATAATAGGAAACTGTGGAGGTTTAAATTTCCTTTTGGAGACAGTGCGTTCGAAGGGGGGGGGTAAAGTGGAAGGCTGACTCGATGCACCGTGCTCTGCTTGCTTTCATGTAGTATAACATCCGTGGTGTGAATACGTTAGCCTAAAGGAAATCGAAATGGGGTATATCACAGCACAAAAACGTGAGCACGCATGCTGAAGGATTGATCCACGAGTAGATGACACTGGTTCTTTCAAGCACAATACATCGCATTCAATATTTCGCTGTATCAGAAACTTCGAAAATATGAAAGAGAGGAGACACTGAAAGCAATCATTGCCCAAAATAAACGTGAACAAAGAACACAAAGGTTCTATTTCGCCTGTTTGATCAGTTTGGCAATTTGTTTGCAAACGTTTCATCACCAGCCGAGGTGACATTATAAGTGCTTGTGAAGTGCAACCGAGCACGATTTAATTTCGGAATTATTTCACTACAACTCAACTGGTGCTTACTATAGAATACAAATCAAGTTTGGCATTTTGCTTGCTGTCCGGGAACGTCTACTAATTCCACTTACAACAGATGCAGACCTCAGATTTTGGGGTCGGTGATTTAGACAGGTTGAGGGTATTGCTAGGAGCAGTCCATTGAGTCCTATTCTAGCTGAAATACTCATGGTTATTCTGTGGAGCAAAGCCAATAGGACATAAAACGAGGTGTGCTGTATAGGAGATACGTGGATGATACGTCGATGATCAGTCAAAGCGCCAGGTAAACCAAGGAGTTGTTAGGTGAATGGAATTTGCTTCACAAAGAAATCAAATTCACTACGGAAACTGGGCAAAACAACACACTCATTTGTAGATATTGTTATTGGTTGAGGAACAGAAGGAATTATTTCGTGGTCACCCAATCGAAAATCTGTATTAACCAGCCTGTATATAACTTTCGGGAGTTTTGCTTCAATTCAACACAACCGAGGTCTCGTTTGCACCCCATTTATTCGAGCTAGGAGGCTGTGTACTCCGGATAATGCGGAAAGTGAGCTAACTCGACCCACGAAAGCTCTAAAGCTCAGTGGTTACCCAACAGGCTATATACAATGGCAAAACGTCAAAGTCGAACGCGAGACCTCGAGGAAGACAGCATCCAAATGCAATCTTTGACTCAAATGCCAATAATGATGGCGATATAAGCCAACCCGTACTGGTGATGGCTAATGATGTCTGTAACCCGCACCCATTTTGCTACATATTCATTCGTTCCGTTCACCAAAACCAAAATTCTGAAGCCGTTGGTGTAATCACTGCTCCAGTTGTCCGCCAAATGGCACATAATCTGTGAACTTCAGTGTGGGTGCGGACCCACCTACGTGAGCAGAACAGAGATGCAGCTACATACTCGATTGACAAAACATTTAACTGCATGGAAGGAACGAGAACGGATCACATTGAGGGCTACAAAATGAAACGGTCTGTTAAGCTGACCGCACAAAACACCTGCGTTGCCAATTGCTCACCATTTGCAGCAAACTGACCACCGAACCGAGCAACAGACCTGTTTTCGGGATATTTACACATCAAATTGACAGCTGCTAAGATTTGCAGGGGCCATATGAATAAAGTGCCGAAAGCTCTCAGCAAAAGGAGATGTATATCAGTTTGGCATTGCCCTGGTAACCACGTAAGCGGAAGAATGAAGTGATACCACGTTAGGTTATTAACAACTGTAATATTTAAATTATTTTGTATTCTGCAGTGAGCACTAGCTGAGATGTAGTGAATTGATTCCCGGATTAAATAGTGCTCGTTTACTGTATTGTGTTCTTTGTTCAGAGACGAAATGGCATTGAATCTGGCCCCGGGGCTTTCCTTAGAATTTTGTTTCCATACCCGCAACGCAATACACAGGAACGGGAACGTATAGTACGTAAGTAGTAAACTGATACACTATCTGCTTCCTCATTTGGATGATATAAATTGCTTGCTTAGAACAGAGAATACGGTGAAATGTTTCTTTGCTACCGGCCATCAGCACAGTTTAGAAAAGGCGTGCAAAATATGAAATTCCTGAGCTAACTGTCTATTGATTACAAAGAAATTTATATTTCCTAGTATTAAGCAGCTATTAGCGGTATGAATCGGTCAAGCGAGAAGAGAATACTTCACGTGGTGCATGTTCACCTAGATACTCAGCGTACGCAGCATGCAGATTAACCGCATATTCTGGTGTGAATTCCAGGGAACATAAAGTATAAGTAGTATAATTTGAAGAATAACAATGATTAATGGATTTTAATAGTGTAAGGTGTACCCAGATAATTCACCAAGCTCTATATCCCATCATGCGTATCGAACAGTTTGATTGGACACTCAGGATTTCTTCTTACACCAGACAATTCGTACGACACTCAGCATAACTCGACCCACATTTTCTTGATTACTGCAAATCCCCGCTAGAGGGTGAATCTAGTTTCATAGGTAGTTCATGACCTCTCTTGGTAATCTAGTCCCACTGAGGCTCGCGACTTCGCTTTAACATTGCGCATGCCCATACATATATCCACAGATATAAACACGGAAAGGAACACAAATACATCACCTCAGATGGCATTTTTAGGGAGGTTCGATGTTGTGCATTCAAATACCTTCAAAGATTGGAAGTTTATTTTTTACAGTGGATAAATCTGCAAAATAAACGCTGACTTTTCTTTGAAAATTGAAACAATAAAGGAAGTGTTTGAGTTAGTCGCAGCTTCTGCCTCTTCATTCAGTCTCTGGAACGCTACAACCATCCACCGGACACATGGGGTCTATTATTGTGTCTGTTTAGTTGTATCCTGCATTGACGTTTCATAAATTATGCCACCATAGATAGCTATATTCATGGGTTTCGCCAGGTCAACTCAGTGCTAAAGCATTTCATCGATCGGTGGTCTACCTGTAATCTGTGCTCGCACAGATGAAGACCCGGTGTTGACATCACCGGATTATCACTCAAGGGATGTGTGTTCGAATCCCATCACCACCGCCTGACTTGTTGCATGGTAGCCCTTTGATTGCCCGCTTCTTCCCGTCAGAAAATTCTTTCATTGTGNAGTGAAAGAAAGTAGAAAGAACAAAAAAAAGCTAAAGTAAAAGTCCTGCAGCCAGGAAAAATTGG